TAAAAAAAAAGGGAAGCATGGAAAATTCAAAAAAAAAAAAAAAAAAAAAAAAAAAACCCCTCAACCTTGTGCATCCCAAGCGTGTGCTCTATCACCAAGCTACACCTCCAGCCAGTTCCTGTCTCTTATACAACCTCACTTCATTAAAGTACCTGGTCACCTTTAACCACCCGAACTACACACGTGGCCTTAAACCTTTTGCCACCCTGAGCTTGCTTCAAGCTTAGCCTCCAGGGGAGAAGAGGGATGGCTGCCTGCTCCTGGGGTCCCTTTTCTAGTTATCCTCCAACTGCCTTGGAAGCTGGCAGTGCCTAAGAAAGGACCAGTCTCACTTCGCTGCTTGGCTCCGTGCTCTCCAGGCCCCGCTGGTGACTGCAGCTGCTGCTCTGTTGTGCAGTGACGTTTTCCCGAGGGGCAGATGCATTCCTACTCTGGCTGTCACTGTCCCCTCTAGGCAGTACATGTCTAGATGCTTCTTACTGAGGTCTCCATATCCTGTTGATGGCCTCTGACCTATCTCAAACAGGACGCCATGGCAGGACCCATGAGAAACCTTCAGGTACAGCCCTGCCTTCAAGATAGCACCTTCCGGGCCCTGCAGGTTTCTAAGGCAAAAGTCACATCTTGGCCTTTGGCCCACTCACACTTTCATCCTCAGGTGTGAGTCAGGCCTGAGTTTTCTTGGTCTCTTACCTACAGGACAGCACATTTCCAAACTCTCCAAGCACTTCTCTTGCCATTCCCCTCCAAGACAGCGATAGGTGTCACTTCCCCTCACTTCTGCGAAAATGGGGTTGGCACTCGGCACAGCTGTATCTTCTGCCATAACTTAGCGCTTCGTAACAAATCATTCCCAGGGCCGGGGATTTGGCTCAGTGGTTCTGCCACCTGCCTTGCAAGCATAAGGTCCTGAGTTTGATCCCGGGTACCCCCAAAAAAAAATCATTCCCAAAACTTAGTGGGAGAAACAATGAGTAGTTATTATCTCTCATAGCTTCTTGTGTTGTGAACTTGGGAGCAGCTTATCAGGCAGTGCTGGCTCAGGGTCTCTCCCAAAATCCAGCCAATTGGCTTGAAGGAGGCTGGGTTCCCTGTGAACATGTTTGACTCCCATGGTTTGCAAGGTGGTGCTGGCTGACGGCGGCAGGGTCAGGTTTTCTCCAGAGGGAATTGGCCAGCACATCGCTTCACAGTGTCACGACACGATGCCAGGCTCTGGCAGAATCCAAGAGACCAAGCAGCAATACCTATCACGATCTAGGCTCAGAAATCACACATGGCCACCTGTCTTTCCTAATTGGGTGCAACTGTTAGCTCTGATTCAGCAACCATGTTTTTGTTTTTGTTTTTTTGTTTTTTTTTGGTACCGAGGATCAAACTTGGGATGTTGCGCTTGCGAGGCAGGTGGCAGAACCACTGAGCTGAATCCCCAGCCCCAGCTCTGATTTAGTAGGGAAGCAAACTACCCAAAGGCACAAATATGCAGAAGTGAAGACTCCTGGGAGCTATTCTGAAGGTGGCTTAACACACTATTACACTTCAAATGATCATAAATCTCTAAAACAACCTGAATGAAGTATGAAGAAACACAAGTTAAGAAAGGCTGAATCAAACTTCTTTGGGGGGCCTTTTTCTCAGCATGGCAGTATGGTGTATTACTCTCAAGGCCTTTGCACTGAGCTATATCCCTAGCCTTTTTATTCTAAGATAGGGTCTTGCTAAGTTATGCCTGCAGGGCTTGAAGTTGTGATCCTCCTGACTGATTCCCAGAGTGCTGGAATTACAGGCACGCACATGGCAGACAGGCATGGCAGAGGAGAGCTGCTCATCCTCGGTGGAAAGGAGGCAGTGTCAAGGGAAGAGCTGTGGAGGAAGTGATAACCTTCAGGCCACCGTCCAGTGAGCCTCCTCTTCCATCCAGGAGTCAGAGCCAAAAGTCTCACTTAGGACCACACGAAGTTTCAGGAGGACGTCCAGATAGCAAATATAACAAAGAACTTCTTTTTCTTTTCTTTTCTTTCCTTTTTTTTTGCAGCACCAGAGATTGAACTCAGGACATTGCACTTTCAAGGCAGGTGGCAGCACCACTCAGCTAAGTCCCGGGCCCACGGAGTTCTTTTGAACCCAGGGCCTTGTGCCTGGTAAGCAAGTGCTCCACCCCTTTCATTTTTAAATTTTGACACAGGACTTTTTTTTTCTGAGACAAGGTCTCACTGTGAAGTCAGGCTGGCCTTGAATTCACTATTTTGAGGCCAGGCTGGCCTCCAACTCCAGGGAATCTTTGTGCCTCAGCCTCCCAAGTGTTGGGATTATAGGCATGTACAGCCACACTCGGCTCTAAATGGCTCAGGCTGTCCTTGAACTTGCAATCTTCCTGCTTCAGCCTCCGGAGTAGTGGGGATTACAGGTGTGTGCCACCTTGCCCAGCTGGGGCACTCATTAATTTCAACTGTATCAGTCATCAGACACTCTACATTTGCTCTTCACCATAAGTGAGTCAAAGATTACCTGAGAAGGAAGACAAGTTCTGATCTCGAAGCTTCCTTTTGGTTTTAGAGCTAATTCTACATAATAATGAGCAAAAGCAACACCTTAGAAATATCTTTCATGACATTTACACTAGAAGTTACAATTCAACAAAAGTATTCTAAGGTGAGTCATTATAAGAATCATCTGTTTTATTTATTTTAGAGCAATGATTTAAATTGAATACATTTGAGCACAGCAGCTATTTGACATGAAAAGTAGTTGTATCAGAATGGGCATCAGAAAAATAGTCACTAATCTTAATCATAATAACTAGAAAATATTTTTCTGTCTGATCACTGAAGTGTTACAAATCCTGAGAATGTCATTCACTGAACAAATTAGGGAAGCCTTATAATTAAAACTTACTTGGAAATAATCCTTTAGAAAATGCTTTGAGGTACAAATCATCTATGTATTAAACATGAGTCTTGTACATGTTACAAAGAGTTTAAACAAATCCATCAAACAATTAACAGTCAGCGGCTCCTATGACACCTACTAGTCAGGCTCAAGGACACACTGTTCCACAATTTCTCGCAGGTTGGGGTTCTCCATCGCGGCTGCCACTCGCTCTTTGTCATTTATCTGCTTGTTGACTGCGAAACACATAAAGTTAGCAGAATAGTGTCAATATACAGCAGCAGTCTTTTATTAGACTGCTAAAACAAAGAGAACTTGAGAACTTAATGCTGTTTTCTGGCTAATTTTAGTATTCACAATGCAATTTGGAAGGTCTAGAAGGCAGATTTAAGAGAAAAGTAAAGAGATTCCCCATAATCCTCTAGTATTCTACTATAGCTATTTCTTTCTTTCCAGCATTGTCAACATACATGTTTTTATACAACTAAATTCCGAAAAAAAAAACATTTTTGAAAACTGCTGCATTTCCTCTTTAATTCTATTTTTTAAAAAATTATATGGTTATTTAATATGACAAAAATGTAAGCATTTTAAATTAATTATGAAAACTATGGTACAGTGAAGAACTTTAAACATATAGCATTCTGGCAACACTTTTTCAACTGAATGGCATAAAGTGTTACCTGATCCTAGACTCAAAAATAAAGCCAATTAGGATCTTTTTAAGTAATCCCAGCACTCAGAAGGCTGAGGCAGGAGGATTAGAAAAATTGCCATGAGTTTCAGGCCAGCCTAAGCTCTACACAGTGAAACCCTATTAAAAAAAAAAAAAAAGATCTTTTTAAAAAAGAAAAAGCTTTGTTTCATGAAAAAGTCTTAAGAATAGTATTGGATTAAATAGTATGATTCATATCATTGAACTACTTTCCAAATTATTTACCAGTTTCCTAAGAGCAATATATGATCTATAAATTTATCAGCAAGAACCAGTATTATTAATAAAAACAAATACACATATTAAACAAGAAGTGGGAAATGGCTCCATAGTATTGTAATTTACATTTCCTTGGTTAACAGTAATGGAACATTTTCCATGTTTACTGATTAGGTCTTCTTGCCTGAATTTTCCGTTCATATTTCTTCCTATTAATCTACTGGGTCATTTTTATCATTTCAAATGGATCATCATATAATAAAGCTATTGGTCATTATGTTGCCTATAATTTGCTAACAGCAATCTTTTCTTTTCTTTTTTTTTTTTTTTTTTTTTGGTACCAGGGATCGAACTCAGGACCTTACGCTTGCGAGGGAGGCAAAGTGCCACTGAGCTACATCCCCATCCCTATCCTAGCTTTTTTTTTTTTTTTTTTGGCACCGGGGATCAAACTTGGGACCTTGCACTTGTGAGGCAGGCAGCAGAACCACTGAGCTAAATTCCCGGCCCCTATCCTAGCTATTTTTGTTTCCAGGTTCACTTACTGTCTTCTTCTGTTGAGTGGGTTCCTTCGGAAATGTAGATTTCCAGCTGGGGAAAAAACAAAACAAAACAGTAGAAGCAAAACATGAGAGCACTGTAAGATGAAGGAGTGAGGTAGAACGTACAGTGGACTCAAGAATCTAGGGATGAGAGCCCAAATCTTGTTTCTGACATCAAAGACTTAGGGACAAATTCCCCACATTCTTCTCTAAAACATGGACCAAAATTTGTAGTATTCTGAGCCAGGTGTGGTGGCACATGTCTGTAATATCAACACTCAGGAGGCTGAGGCAGGAGGATCACTGAGTTGAAGGTCAACCTGAACTATATAGCGAGACCCCTGTCTCAAAAAAAAAAAAAAGTAGTATTGTGGTCAACAGGGGAAGGCCTGCAGGGAGCATTTTTCATGAATATTTTTATGATACACATAAATACAATTTTATGCCAATGAGATCTCATACATGCTATCCTTGTTGGGAAGATCCCTCCCCTGCATACTGCATCCTCCTGCACCACCCCCAGGAAAACCATTAGCAATCTCGGGTAGTTCCTTATATATTTTTCTCCCAGGTAATCTTACACAAATTTTTTGCCCACTCACAAACATCCCAAGGTTGGAAGTTTCTTTTTACTACATGTTCTATAAAAGTGGAATCACAATATGCAGAGCTTCAATATCCTCCTTTTCTTATCCTCTATTATGTTGTTCCATTCATTCTCAAGGATAATACTGGGCCCTGCTATATCCTCACAAATTAGCTAGCCTCTAAGACCCAGGGCCTTTGAGATAACTTATCCTGCAGCTAAGAAGCACGCTATACATATACGAAAGAGACAGGACCACTCTCCAGAGAACACTGGAGCACATGAACTAATTCTTATCTACTTACTCACTACTGAGAAAAAAATGTATTTCATGAGTGAAAAAAATCACAGCCAATTAGAGGTTAAAGGGGCCTTAGAGATCACTATTCCAACGGCTTATGAAAGACAGACCACCATATACATTCCTCTAGTGGCAGAAATTCTTACTCTAGACCACAAAACCACAGATACAGAGTCTCTGCACACTCATTTCGGTTAAAAATTATGCATGACTCATTACTTTAAAGAATGACAAGGAAAGGGTATTTACTCTGCTATTCCTATATGGATTACACCACAAAGTAGCCAAACAGTTGGTGGAGGGAGCTGTCACCAGTAAAGGGCCAAAATAAAATTATAGGCCCTTTGATGTAATACAATGAAAACACATTTATTCAATATTCTTGCCAAAAGTGGATAAGCAATCTAACCAGGAAACATCAGAGAACTGAATCTGACAGAATGTACAAAATAGCTGGCCTACATTCTGCAAAAATATCAAGATCATGAAAGATGGAGGCTGAGGAACTAGTCCAGACTGAAGATGCTAAAGAGAGGACAACTAATGCTAATGTGAAGTGTGGGAGGGGACAGATGGGATGGGTTCTCCATGCAGGGTCCTACTGGAAAATGGGGTGCTGGGATATGTGTTGTAGATTAGATGACAGTATTGTATTAGTGTTAAATTCCCTAGTTTTGAATACTGTACTGTGATAATGTAACGGAATGTCCTTGCTTTTAGGAAATATACCCTGCAGTATGTGGGAGTAAGGAGACATTATTAGCATACAAACAGTTCAAAGAAATACACACACACACACACACACACACACACACACAAACACACAGTGAGAGGACATCAGTGGTAAAAGAAATGTGGCAAATGTTAACTATTACTAAACCTGGGTAAAGGAGTTTTTCTGCTATATTTCACCTTTTCGATAAATTTGAAATCATTTCAAAATTAAAATTTTAGTATTTTAATTAAAACAGGTAAAATGCAAAATAAATTACAATTTACCGAGTATATAAACCATGGGTATTAGCATTCATTAATTTACTCAATTTAGCCAGACATGATGGTGCATGCCTATAATCCCTGATCTTGGGAGGCTGAGGCAGGAGGATTACTGTGAGTTTAAGGCCAGCCTGGAATTCCTATATAGAGAGATCCTTTCTCAAAAACCAAGGCAAACAAAACAAAACAAGAATTTACTCAATTCAACACACATTTATTGAGCTCCTGATATGTGTACTATCACAGTGGGGAACACAGAGGTGGATCATATATAAATTCTGACTTCAAGAAACTGACAATCCAGGAGAGAGAATGAGAAGTGAACTCAGACAGTGAAAACACATGTGAGAAAATGATGCGCTACATTAGAAGACAAAGAAGGGCCGGGGATTTAGCTCAGCGGTTTGGTGGCCGAGTTCAATCCCTGGTACCAAAAAAAAAAAAAAAAAAAAAAGAAGAAGAAGAAGACAAAGAAAACAAGGGAGCCAGGCGTGATGGCGCACATTTGTAATCCTAGCACACGGGAGGGTGCAGCCTGAGGATTGCAAGTTCTAGCCCCACTTGGGTATTTTAGAGACTTAGCAAGATCCTGTCTCACAGCAAATCAAAAACCATGGATGGAGATGTAGCAAAGGCCCTGGGTTTAATCCTCAGTACTGGGAGAAAAGAAAAGTGCCAGGGAGCTTCAAGGAGAGAAATTACTTTTGTTGTTGTTGTTTGTTTTTTGCTTTTTTGAGACAGGGTCTCACTATGTAGTTCAGACTGCCGTGGAACTAACTGTGTAGCTCAGACTGGTCTGGAACCTACAGAGAAGCTCCTGCCTCAGCCTCCCAAGGGCTGGGACTACAGAAGTGCACCACCATGCCTGGCTGAGAAATTACTTTTGCTATAGAAAGTGAGACTGACACCAAAGATAGCATTTACCGGGCCTTACAACACGGGTAGGGCTAGGGAATATGAGGAGGAGGCAACTCCACGTGGCTGAGGAACTCTAAGCAGAGGCTTGCTAGTGGCAAAAGGCAGAGGACAAACCTGCTCAAGAATTATGAGAGATAGGACCGGGGATTTAGCTCAGTGGTTCCGCCACCTGCTTCACAAGTGTAAGGTCCCGAGTTTAATTCACGGTACCAAAAAAAAAAGAATTACGAGAGTTAGCAAAAGATAAGACCAAGGCATTCAGGAGCTATAACCAATTACCTGTGAATCTACATTCCTGTGTAACAGTTGGCTAAAAACATTTTCCTTGGGCATTCTACCAAAAGCACATGTTAGAAAGAAGATAAATTGGATTTTATCAAAATTAAAGACTTATGTAGCCAGGCGTGGTGGCGCACACCTGTAACCCCAGCACTTGGGAGGCTGAGGCATAAGGATCACTGCATGTCCAAGGCCAGTCTGAGCTTCCCAGTGAGTTCAAGACCATCCTGAATTATGTAGCAAGACCATGTCTCAAAAAACCCAATAAAATACATACATATATACATACTTAAGAAAGTGGAGAGATTGTGAATAAAAATGAATCCAACTATTTTATGTGAAGATTTCTATGCATTTCTATCATGCATTCCTGTGTCATGGCAGAAAATTTTGAAGACTGAAAAATAAAATAATTTTTTTAAAAAGACAGTGGAGAGAAAACATGCCCCTAATCCCAGCACTTTGGAAGGCTGAGGCAAGAGGTTCACAAGTTGGAGCCAAGCCTGGGCAACTTAGAGAGACGCTGTTTCAAAACAAGAAAAAATAAACAACTGAAAGGCCTGGGGATTGAGCTCAGTATGAGGCCCTGAGTTCAGTGCCGCTACCACACACACACACAATGTGAAAAGGAGACTTGCAGAATGGGAAAAAATACTTGCCAGTCACATATTTGATAAGGATCCTGCAGTATTTAGAGTACTGTATGGAGAACCATTAGAGACCCGGAGAGCAGCACAGAGGCAGAGCATGTGCTTAGTGTGTGTGAGGCTCCACATGCAATCATTAGTGTCCCAAAAAAGAACTCACGTAAGTCAGTAATAAAAAGACAACCTGACTGGGAGGGGGCAACCTAACTTAACAAGCAAAGGATCCGAACAAGAGCTCTCTAATAAGATAAAGAAACAACCAAAGAAAACATGAAAAGGTGCTTGACATCGTTAGCTATCAGGGAAATGCAAAGCAAAACGACAAGGAGGTATCACTTCATACCCACTAGCATGGCTACGACCAGACTGGACGACAGTGGACTGGGTGAGGATGCTGAGAGATCAGAACCCTCACATACTGCTGGAGGGAATACAAAATGGTGAGGCCACTACGGCAAACAGTCCCACAGCGCCTCTAAAGGTGACACACAGAGTTACCGTGTGAGTCAGCAATTCCACTCCCGGGTAGGAGAGAAACGAACATCTCAGCACAAACTTATACACAAATGCTCAGAGCAGCATTACTCATACCAAAGAATAAAAATCAATCAATCAATCAAGTCAGATGTGTAACAACTATGAAGAGGTAAATAAAATGTAGAATAGCCATACAACCAAGTATTATAAGGCAATAAAAAGGAATGAAACACTGATACACACAACATGGGTTATGCTAAGTCAGGGAAGCCAGACACTAAAGCCCACATACTGTATAAATTTCCTTCAAATGAAACATCTAGAACAGGCAAACCTATAGAGACAGAAAGCAGGGGATGGAAGAGTCAGGGAAAAGGGCAGTGACTGCTAACAGGCAGAGGGTTTCTTTGGGAGGTGATGAAAATATTACAAATTATAGTGATGGCTGCACAATGCTGAACACATACAAACCACTAACTTGTACAGTTTACATAGGTAAAGTGTATGAGATGTAGATGATGTCTTGACAGAGCGATTGTAAAAGACAACAGGACGGTTCAATATGGCCCATTTTCCTTGGGCTCAAGACAGCAACGAAACATGTCTTACCTTGTGTTTAAATGGCAAACACCGCTGAAGTTTTACTCTTAAGCATAGCCCTGTGGAGGAGAGAGAAAAACTCATCATAATGATCTCTTCATTCTTACAGGTTCCCGAAATGGCAGAGCGGGGTCTACACGTCCCTGTGGAATACGGCTGCTGAAGACGGCTCTGCTCAACCTGGTGCGAGTCTCCTTTAAGTCTGGCCCCATGCTAGGAAGTTTAATACACAATTTCACATGTTCCTCACGATTATCCAGTGGGCTACGTATTCCTAACCCCATTCTACAAATTACACAACCAAGGTCACAGCCTAAATTGCCCAGGGACACTGAGCTAGAAAAGCGGCACAGTCAGGGGCTGGAACCCAGGATTTCTTTTCTACCGTATTTGCTGGCCTGCAGTACAGGGTCAGGTCATTCATTGAGCTTTATGGAATGCCCACAACAGGCCAGGACATGAAGTTAAAACCAAGAAAGAGCTATCTAAAAAGGGCCACGTGAGACTTCTCGAAGCTGGAATCTTTATGTCTGCGAGGTACATACAGAGATGCTTCCCTAAGAGGAGCTCTGCTCGAGTTTGGTTTACCACTCCTGCCAAGCCACGGGTCAGTCATTTCTTTTTCTGCTTGAGATTTGCAGCAAAAATTAAAACTGGACTTGTAACATATCCTTCGGTGCTACTGCTCCATTAATTTCCACATCAAATTAAGGAATGAATTTTTAACTAAATACACATTCCTAGCTAACAGAAAACAAACTGCTCTTACCATGAAGAGAGAATGCTTCAGTAATAAACTGAAAAATATAGAGAATGGATCCCTATCCCCTGTTTGTGAAGGCTTCTGTTTAGAGCAGTTTATTTCTCCTCCCAACTGAGGTATAAGGGTCTATTAGGCTATTAAAACAATTCCTAGCTAGACTTAGTGGCACACATCTTTAATCCCAGGACTCAAGGGGCTGAGGCAGGAGGATTGCCCTTTTAGGCCAGTCTGAGCTGCTTTAGGATGTCAAAGCCAGCCAGAACTACATAACAAGGCCATCTCAAAAAATTAAAAACAGGGTCGGGAATTTAGCTCAGCGGTTCGGTGGCCTGCCTTGCAAGTGCAAGGACCCGAATTCAATCCCTGGTACCAAAAAAAAAAAAAGAAAGTAAACATCAACAATACAACCCCAAACCATCCTAACACAAAAAGTATAATTATTAGATCATCTGTCTTCTGGGGAATAAATTGCTAAGCTCTGTGCTTAAGGCATACCTGGCACACAGGCACACAGCAAACGTCCGCTGTTACCATTTTGTCATTTTCACTTCATAGGCAGGAAACCAAGTTAAGTGATTTGTCACCACCACGCAGCTAACAAGTGACAGAGGTGGGAGCTGAACCTATAGTTTCTGGCTCTGAACCCTATGCTCTTCCCGCCAGGCCACACCTGCCAGGCAGCACCCTTCTCTGGACTACGCCTGTCCTGCCTTACCCACTTAGCCCTTTTGAGTCTTCTTTCTTTCTGGATTATTCACAAGAGTAACTGATAGGTGACTCTCCTGACAGATCAGGTAGAACTCTGACTCAGGTGCCTTTTCTCCCATGACTACCTTTTAACAAGAGGGCTGGGGGTTTAGCTCAGTGGTTCCACTGCCTGCCTCACAAGTGCAAGGTCCTGAGTTTGACCTCTAGTAATAAAAAGAAAAAAGAAAAAAGAGGGGCCAGTGATTTAGCTCAGGAAGGAAGGTTGTAAGTTGGAGTCTGGCCTGGACAACTTAATGTCTCAGAGAGACCTTGTCTCAAAATAAAAACTTGAAAAAGCTAGAGATGTAGCTCATGGTGAAGGTCTTGGGTTTAGTACCTAATGCCAGAAAAAGAAAGAAATGTCCCTCAGCACAGCAGCCAGAAAGAGGACTCTGTTCATCCAGTTTTCCAACCGCGTTGACTAAATATGCTTATACGATGCAATACTATACTGGGTCTCACCTGAAATGCGTATCAGAAGACCCAAGAGACGGGACAAAATGTGTTCAGGAAGTTCAAAGATCTGCGATATCACTCATAACCTAATCTTAGCACCCTCACGCAGAGTTATTTATTTTTATTTTGTACTTTCTCTCAACCTTTGTCCTCATGGACAGTTTTTCTATAACTAAAATCATGATGTAAATTAAATTTGTCATCCAAGCAATTTCGTGCATTTCTCTTATACTTTTCTTTTCTTCGTTTTGTTTTTTTGGTACCGGGGACCGAACTCAGGACCTTGCACTTACGAAGCAGGCAGAAGAACCACTAGGCTAAATCCCCAGCCCTCTTACACTTATTACAGCAATATACACCTCATTACAGTAGTGCCATTTCCTTACTAACAGATTCTATAGTTTCTTCCAAGTCTCATATGATAAATTTACAAAAAACATTTTATATATATGTAATATTTTCCTCCATGGAATTATTTTCTTAATTCAAAGAATTCTTGGTAAGAATTTGCCAAAATTCTTATTTGAAAATATTTACACCATGTAACCAAAAATTCCACTCATAGGAATTTATGCTGAGCAATGAGATTTATACAAAAATATTTATGCATAAAGTTGTTCACTGTATTATTTATAACTGTTTTTTTGGTTTGTTTGTTTTGGTACCAGGGATCAAACTCAGGACCTTTCACTTGCAAGGCAGGTGGTAGAACCATTGAGCTAAATCCCGGCCCCCAAAAAATTTTCTATAGGCTCTTAGAATCACTACTTAAGGACTCCGATACATAAATCAAAATATTTCGAGCACCTCCTCTGCATAAACATTCAAATAGTTCCCAGCACTCAGGAGGCTGAGGCAGGAAGATCACTACAAATTCAAGGCCAGCCTGAGCTACATATCAAGAGCCTGCCTCAGAAAAAAAAAAAAAAAAAAATGCAAGTTGTACTTTTAATATCCTTTGGTTCAGAAATTGTTCAATGACAAAAAATAACTATGTATCCAATAATACTCTTTCTAGCCCTGTAATTTTAATAATTATAATAACACCCAAGGTGTCACAGTACCTCCAGTCTCTCAAGATGAGGACTGTGTGCTAGTAACACCTAACGGTGGAATCCAGGTGAACTAGTAAGAAGACAGACACCACTAGTAGGAACAATAAGCAAATACTAACTTTTTTATCCTTTCATAAACTTGCTTTTCAATAATGTATTCTTTTTTTTTGTTTGTTTTTGGGTTTTTTTGAGACAGGGTCTCACTACATAGTTGAGACTGACCTGGAACTCACTATGTAGCCCAGGCTGGTCTCGAACTCACAGTGAACCTCCTGCCTCAGCCTCCTGAGTGCTGGAATTACAGGTTTGCACCACCATGCCTGGCCTCAATAATGTATTCCTATGGTTTGAAAATTTTAAAACATAAAAAGATATACAATAAAGCCTCCCTCATACACTGTCCCCCATCTGCCTGGTTCCCACCACCATTACCCAGTAGCACCCATCACAGCTGTTCACTTCTTTGTTTTGTTTTGTTTTGAGACAGAGTCTCACTATGTAGCCCAGGCTGATCTCAAACTCATAGCGATTCTCCTGCCTCAGCCTCCCAAGTGCTGGGATTACAGGCATGCACCATCACGCGGGGCTGTTCACTTCTTATGTATGCTTTACGTATAAACACTCAAATACAAATGTATTTTTTTGGTTTTTTACGCAAACAGTAATAATATACTTGTGCTTAAGTATGTAACAGAGATTATTCTGTATCAGTACAAGTTTCTTTCTTTTTCTTGCAGTACTGAGAATTGAACCTAGTGCCTTTACACTGAACTAAATTCCCAGCTCTTTAAAAATTTTTTTATTTTGAGACATTCTCTCTAAATTGCTCAGGTGGGACTCAAACCTATGATCCTCCTGCCTCAGCCTCCCAGAGGGCTGGGATTACAGGCATATCACCACATCAGGCCTCTCCATTCTTTTTATAGCTGTATAGTATCCCATTGTTTATATTCATCCTTGATTAATCAATCCTTTACTAATAAATATTTGATTTAAAATAAATTGCCTTTATATCCTTTTTTGTTTTTAAGACAGGGTCTTGCTATGTAGTCCTGGCAGCCTCAAATTTGCAATTCTCCTGCCTCAGCTTCCCAAGTGCTAAATTACAGGTATGCATCACTATGCCCAGCTCCTTAGTCTTTATAACAAAGTATATATTCAAAGTGCTATTAACTAATACAAATTATTGGGAAAGCAGCTTTATAAGTAGAAAAATGCCTCAAGAAATAGCCTCAGGGCTGAGGATTTAGCTTAAGGGCACCTTACTTGCCTCACAAACACAAGTCCTAAATTTGATTCCTGGTATCAAAAACAAATAAATAAATACCCTCTCAGGGGGCTGGGCTTATACAGCTCAGTGGTAGAGCACTTGCTCAACACATACAAGGCCCTGGGTTCCATTTCCTGCACTTCCAAAAGAACCCTCCCACCAGGACGTCTGCACACACAACACAGAAGATGGCAACAGCAGGACCGCTGATCTGACAGCACCCACGAATCCTCACAAGTGGGAGAGGCGCCAGCTTCTGTCCACTCTCCTTTAACTGAAGCTATCTGTGCCTCTAAGAAGCACCAGGATGTAACTAAGAGGGAAACAGATTGACTTAGGTTTGAGTCTCTGCCCCCCCAAAAAAATTTTTTTTTGAGACAGGATCATGCTATGTAGTTCAGGCCAGCCTTGAACTTACAGCAATCCTCCTGCCTCTGCCTCCCAAATGCTGTGATTACAGGTGTATGCCACCACGCCCAGCTAGGCCTCATCATTTCTGGCTATATGGTTCCCAATAAGTCATTTAAACTGTAGTAGCTTTAGATTCTTCATCTTTTTGGTGAATCTTTTTGTGTTGGGGGGCACTGGGGATCAAACTCAGCGCCTTGCACTTGTGATTCAGCCCTTTTCGATTCCTTATCTGTTGAGATTAAGATACCATTTTTAACTCTCACAGATCAATTGTGAGGGTTATAAAAGAGGAAGACGTGAACATAGTGTTCATTATACAGGGTGATTCATGGTACAAATGGTTGTTTTGGTTCGTATCACTTGAAGAGTTTAGAATTCACACACACACACACACACACACTCACCAATAAGAGTCGCCAAAGAGCAATGAGGTACTGTTGGTGTGAACCTGATGATAACCAGATAGTCCTCTTCATCTCTCTCCTGAACCTCCACACAGCTCTCTGTCACCACTTCCAGTTCTTCTAAAGTATTGGGCTTCTCCGGGTCCCGGATAGTTCGAATCAAATCTAAAGAATGTCAAAAAGAAGATACTACTTTATAACGTGGATATTCTACATAAGGGTGATTCTGCTAATTATAATCTAAGCACTGATCTCTTTTTAAGCAAATATTACAGCAACTTCCAGGATTCTGACAGAAATTTCCACTACTGCTTTCTTTTGGTGGGGAGAGTGTTAATGGGGATAGAACCCCAGTGGGTACTGGGCTACATCCCCATCCTTTTTAGTTCTTAAATTTTGTGGCAGGGTCTTGCTAAGTTGTTCAGGCTGGCTTTAAAACTTAAGATCATTCTGCTTCTGCCTCCCTAGTACTGGGATTACAAGCATGTACCATGATGCCTAGCTCTTTTTTTTTTATTCTTCTTCTTTTTTCTTTTGCTTTGTTTTTGTTTTTTTGAGTAAAGGTCTCACTCTGTAGCCCAGGGTGGCCTGGAACTCTGTAGCCCAGGGTAGCAATCCTCCTGCCTCAGCCTTCTGAGTGCTGGGATTACAGGCATGCACCATCATGCCAGGTCCAAGAAAACTGGTTTCTTGAATCATCATTAGCTCATATCCAATTTCTTAGATCCAGTGTCACAGAACAAATATAATAAGAATAGGAAAAAATATATATATTTTTTTTGTTTGTTTGTTTTTTACAGCTGGTTGCAGGCAATACAGAGCTCTCAAAAGATGAGAACAAGAGACTAGGAGAATGACACTCAAATTCTAAGTCCACGGGTCTAAGACAGTGATGGAGAAACTTTTAGAGCTTTCAATGATACAAACAGCTCGCTATGGCACATGCCCTAGGTTCGCCAGCACTGGTCTAGGAGAACACTCATAGGATAAAAAGAAACAGAACAAGGAAAATACCTAGGTGCAGGTTGGAGCAAATGAGTTGTTTCATACACAGAGATTCTGAGGTGCTCAGGGAGAACTCTAGGGAATTTTCTAGGAAATACTGAACCATGGCCTTGGGTTGCAGAGAGCACTAAGGCAAGTGAGGTTGTTGAATACATGGAATTCATACAGAATAAGGAGAACTTTGGCTGGAATTACCTATAAAGCTTTTAAATGAAAAACTGGTGTTTTTCACAGAGATTCTGATTAGGGTTTGGGGTGTGACCTGAGCATTGAGTCTTATCTGAAAAGCAGGTCAACTATCAGAAAAAAAGTGACTTCCTATGAGAGGGTCAATTATAACATTTAGTAGTATTAAATGTTATGAAGTTGGGCGTGGTGGCGCACACCTGTAATCCCAGCACTCAGGAGGCTGAGGCAGGAGGATTGCTGTGCGTTTGAGACCAGCCTGGGCTACATAGTAAGTTCCAGGTCATTCTCAACTACGTAGCGAGACACTATCTCAAAAAACCAAAAAAAAAAAAAGTTATGAATAAGTGAAACTGTTAGGTATATAGAATTGTGTACTAATTTCACAATCCTCTGAAAAACCTCAAACTATTCTAGATAATGAAATGTATTTAAATGTGAAAAAATATTCCTCAGGTTATTCTTTTTCATTTTTCTTTTGGTGTGGGGGTCAAACCCAGGGCCTTGGGCATACTAGGCAAGGGCTCCACCAAGACTTCGTCACCCCTTGGGTTATGTGCAGCCCAGTGAGACTCAGTGATCCAAAGGCAAAGAAACCTGAGGATAGATACCTATTTTTGGTGGGTTTTTTTGGTACAGGAGATCAAATCAGGACCTTGTGCTTGCCAGACAGGCACAATACTTGGAAGCGTACCATTTAATGAGCCCAGATGAGCAACAAAAGCAAGGAGAACCAGAGAAAGGAAGAGAGGCGGTTAACACCAAATGCCGCAGAAAAATTCAGGCTGACAAGAGCAAAAACAGGTCTCTCACTCAGGAGGTCACCTACAAAGAAAACAGTAGAAGGCTGAGGGCCAAGGGAAGCTTCCCAAAGGCAAAGTGAGTGGGAACCGGAAATGGAGCGGGAACTGAAAATGTATTCACAGGGCCTTGGCTGGGAAGAGAGGCAATGAAAGGACAAAAGTTTTACATAAGGACAAGAGTAAGGATAAAGGAAACCTGAGTGTGTTCTATAGCCCCAGGAGAAGGACCAAACGGAAAATACAAGGAGGGAAGACTGGTAAAATTAAACGAAAGGAATGGGATTAAGAAAGTGGAAGCCTGGGTTAGTCATAGGAAGGACAAGACTTCCTCCTTACTCTGAGGCTACAGAAAAAAGCTGAGGAGAATGATAAAAAGAAATAAAGACATAGGCAGAGAGGCACAATTTTAGTTAGGATGGGATTGATGTTCCTAAGCCTGAGGTTCTTTTCTATTATTTATAGCTCCCCTGTAATCAGAAATGCAGCTGGGAAAAGAAAATCAATCAAACTCTACCTTCTCTGCAGCTATCTCCTGGGCTTATCATTTGAATAGAAACAATGCAAATACAAGCTGGAAAGTGAATAAAGATTCTCTTATGGTGTTGTGTTCGTGGGATTCAGGGAGTTTTTTGGTTTGGGGGTTTGTTTTTTGTTGGTTTTTTTTGTTGTTTTTGTTTTGTTTTTTGTTTTTTTGAGACAGGGTCTCACTACATAGTTGAGACTGACCTGGAACTCACTATGTAGCCCAGGCTGGTCTCAAACTCACAGCGATCCTCCTGCCTCAGCCTCCTGAGTGCTGGGATTACAGGCCAGAGCCACCACGCCCAGCTAGGGGAGTTTTTTGAAAAGCAAATTTTCTGCACTTCATCCTAGGTTTTCTCCCTGTACAATTCATTTATAAAAAGCTGTATTATGTTCTTTATATGCCACAAAAGCTTGAAATTAAACCTCACCCCCTTATTAAACTTCTCTGTCTAGTAATTTGAGAACCTTGGATTTCTTTAAAAACAAATCAGTGTTGTTCACCTCACATTACTCTCCTCACTAAATTTTCCTATGGCTCTGCCCTGATATTAAGAGACTTCATTTATATTTAAGAGCTTCCGTTTCCAATTCTGACACCTAAAGCAATAGTCACACCTCCGCCTGGAACCAATAAACCCTATCCTGTAGCGCCACCTATCTGCCATTCCCAGTGCTACTTTCTCACCGCCATACTTTTAGTTTCCTCAGCTTAATTTGCCCCAACCCAATACATAACCAGGTCTTACTATTTCACAAGGCCCAACTCAAATGACTCCTCTTTAGCCCTTCCAGACCCCCAGTCAGAGACTAGTTAAGTTTGAAGACTAGAATCATCTCTTTTACAACGCTTATTCTCAGGTACTGTAGATGAAAGTCTGGAAAGTCAGGAATGTGTCCAGCTTTATGGAGATCAGTCTGCTGGAATTATCATCCGGCTGGGGTTAAGTGAGCCTTGTTTCTATCAAGAGGCAAACTGGGTTAGCTTTAAAGATTTTTCACATTTGTGCTTTTCACATTTGTGCGCTTTCTTCTGCTGGGCTATAATTCTTATCCAAATTACATTTATATTCTTATGATTAGTTCTCTTAATGTTACGTCCAGTCTTTTGAAGTTTTCAAAAATAATAGGAAGAGAATCGGAGATTTAGCTCAGTGGCACCGCTCCTGTCTCGCAATCAAAAAGTCCTGAGTTCAATCCCCATACCAAAAAAAAAAAAAGGAAGAAAGAGGAAAAGTAACCATATAACACTTGTGAATGAAGTGTACTACATTTGGAATCAGAAGACGTGAGCTTTTTGGTTTTTGCTCTATTCCTGACAGTGTGGCCTCTAGATAACTGTTTAACCATTCTAAGTCTTTGTTTCTGTATCTGTACAATGAAAATACATAGTCCCAAGACGTAGAGAGTATTTAATATGTACAGAGAATGTGTGTGTATATACATGTATGTATACACGTGTAACGCAGCTTGACTGTGTTAAGGAACTGCAAATTTAAATTTGAGGCCTAGGCAGGAGAATACTGTCTCATGCGTTCCTCTCGGGGACCTCTGCATAATCCACTATGGCATAGAAGAGTAGCTGTGACCTTGGGCCGGTTCCCAGCTCGGCCACCACACAGCAGTGCCCTCAGCAATTAGAGGCGCAGTGCGCGTCCAGAAGCTATGAAGGAGGTTCAAACGGCGCCATTAGGCCAGCTTTGCTCCCTTACTGATCACCCTAGGCTTTTGCTTTGCCCGCAGTCTTGGAATGACCACTGGGCATGAGGCGAGAACGGGAAATGAAGCATTTAAGACTTCCAAGCTTAGCGTGCCCCAGGTTTAGGAAGAGCCCCAGCGCTGTAAGGATTCAAATTTCCGTGTGACTTAAAAGTCCCGAAGAAAACGCTTCCCACGATCCCGGCTAGATTCGGCAAAACCCTTTTCCCCACGACCCACCACCTCTACATAGAAAGCTAAATGCAGCACTGGATAAAATTAATTACCATAAACCTCTAGCGCTTTCTCTTCCATGATCCGGGGCTGCCGGGCAGCTCCCGGCTCAGAGAGGCCCGAGAGCCACAGGACTCTGCTCAGCGTCCAGGAGAGCAGCCCGGACACCCGCTCCATCCTCACGCTCCGCCATCCCTGGCGATTGTCCCACCCGAGCCACCGTCTTTCAGCAGCCGGCCTCAGGTTTTATCAATTCTCCGGTCTTCAACTAGAAAAGATTACTAGAAAAGAGGTTCAAGGAAACAGAGAATGGGCGGGACACCACAGAGTAGCGCGGAGGATTTAAGGAAGAAAACAGCCAGGACTACAACACCCAGCATGCTTTGCTCGATTTCGCCGGGACATGGGAGCAATCCTCACTACTTTTGAGGCGCATTGAATGCTGGGGTGTGTGTGACGTTGGCTTCGTACAACGGCAAATTGTATTCTGGGATTTGTAGTCCGGTGAGTGGGGCGTGTGTGAAAGTAACGGTAACTGAGTGCCTCGGTCAACGTCCGAGATGAATCCTGAAGAGGTAGGGGTAAGAACATCATGTTGTCTAGTGCTGCAGAAGGTTTCTAGAACGGCGATTCTTTACAGTAGTATCTCTGAGGGAACTGCTTCCCCTCAAAATCTCCTTACTTCCTGATTAGGCCGGAAGTGGGTTTCTGTCTGTGGGGAAGAGGTAGGTTTTGGAAGGCCAGTAAGCACAGTTAAACATGGCAGAACAGAGGGGAGAGAGTTTTCTGGTTTTCTCATAGCCTAGGGACTCAATCCTGCACAGCTCCCTGTTATGGGGACTAGTCTATCAATCGCCTTCAAAAACAGTTTACAAGTAGAGAACTTTGCCTGGATCTGGGTGTCCAGTGGACATGGAGATGGCCTCACTAAAAAACGGTAATCTAGGCCTTCTGGTGTTCATGGCTGTGAAGAACGCCATTTATGAGATTGATGATTCTATTATCCACCCCTCCAAATAAATCTCAGATATTTACCAGACAATTTGCCATAAGCGCCTGGCAACCTGTAAGCACCAGAGTTACAAAGAGAGGAGACCCTGCTATGCCCTCGAGCAGATCCCAGACCTAAGGGAGCCAGCATCTGATGTTGAAGATACGTGGTTGGAAACAAATACCCTTTCCAATGTTGGTGTCAACTTTTATCTCTGTAAAAGAAAAAGTCGGTTTCATGGCTTATGCCGGTAATTCCAGCTATTTGGGAGGCCGGGGCCGGAGGATTGCAATTTTGAGACCCACGTGGGCCATTTATTGAGACCCTGTCTCAAGATAGACAAAAAGATTGGGGATGTGGCTCAGTAGCAGAGTGCTCCTAGATCCCCAGTATCAACCAGTACCCCCCACAAAACGTTAGTATTATACAGTGTTGCAGAATTGTCCCATGATAGACAATAAATCATTTAGGTCCATGCTCATAATTTAACAATTTTCCTGCCATTTATTCTACTTCATTTACTCCACGGAAATTAATCCTAACATCTTTCCAACCAAATTTAATACACTGAGGTCTCATCCCGCTCTAAGGCCTCCTGAATTCTTCAAGCAGAATCGATAACCTCTTTCCCTGTTCCACAGCACACTTCACCACTAACATGCTGCCTCCTTCATCAAATTGTAAACACCTCGTGGGCCATGAGCTTCTTCATTTCAGACGCACAGCCAGGTTCCAGGCTCACAGCAAACGCTCAGTATATATTGAATGAATTAACTGAATGTGGTCCAAAGAATAAGTGGAAAAACTTTCCAGCAGTCTGTCTGCTCAGAGACTTCAATAAAAAATCCTTATGGAATCTCTGTGGGGGCACTGTGCGTGGCATGAGTATGTGTTGTGCGTAGGTTTTCAAACATTTTTAGTTGCAGGCTCCTTTACTCAAAGGCTATCTTAGAAGCGGGCTAGGTAATAGAGCACGAAGGAGCCCCGCAGCCCCCAGCTCCTCCTCTGCCCCTTGGGCCAGCCTCGGCAATCGTTCGGCTTCGGCTTCAGGGCTCGGATTTGCAGGGCTGCGGCCGGGGCCCCGCCCCAGCACTGCTCGCGGGTCCCGCAAGGTCCATCGCGGCCCTCGCGTTCCTCGCAGCGCTGGAACGCTTTGCTCGCGGCGCTATCTCTCTATAAAGTTGTTGTTGCGGCTTCCGCCGCGGGTGGAGGAAGATGGCGTCGGGAGGTGGTGGCTGTAGCGCTTCGGAGAGACTCCCTCCACCTTTTCCCGGCCTGGATCCGGAGTCTGAGGGGGCTGCGGGGGGCTCAGAACCCGAGGCTGGGGACAGCGACACCGAAGGGGAGGACATTTTCACCGGCGCGGCGGCGGCCGTGAGTTCACCCCCTCGGGTCGGCAGGCAGGGGAGCGCCTCCGAATGTCAGGAGGCTGGGGTGAGAGAGCCTGAGAGACCCGACCCCGGGGTCGGCAGTCCGGGCTCAGGGCTCGGGGTGAGCGCCTGGCCGCAGGGCCTGGCTTCCCGGCCGCAGGAGCGAAGAGTAAGGAATGAGGGGTGTGGTGGCCTCGCTGCCGTCCTCAGCAGCCTAGAGCCGCCAGAGCTGTCCTTGGCCTGCCGTGTGGTCACCCCTCGATGCACTGGGCTGTTGTGCAGGTTGTGGCTTGGCCAGGCCGACTTAATAGGACAGGACAGGGATGGAGGGCAGAGCTTCCTTTGCCTTGCCTACTGCTCTTAGCACGAACAACGCTACCAGGATAGTGACCCGCCCACAGATCTCCTGTCTGCTGACACTTAACCTCTGCTTACTGAAGACCCGTTCTGGATCTTTGTTTATAAAAGTTAGGTGACTCCTCTGATCCTAGAATAGGCCAAAAGCTTTAGAGAAGGCCTTGTCAGATAAATCACTACCAAGACCAGAAAGCTTTGTTCTGGTAAGGGATGTTTAAAATGCACAATATCTCATTGGGAGCGCAGTTATATATGTGAGGAGGAAATGGTGATTCCCACAGTAAATATCCATGGTTCTAGTAAGAGTTAATTATGAAGGCAAATAATCTTTACACGTGGAATGTGGAACTCGGTAATCAGTTATGGAACCACTGGATGTGTTTGGGGCTGTTTTATGAGAATACTGACTCATCCGGCATGGTACAGTTAGTTCCAGACTGTAAACTTCTTCAGTGCTGGGTCTGTGAATTTTATCTTCCTATTTTAGATAATGGTTCCCTTCAGAGTAAGTACTAAGTTAAACAGCTTTAAATTCTTTATGCAGCGTATGTCAGAAAACGTTTGAGGCTGGCCTCATTTACGTCGGAAAAACGGTTTAAGTTTTTGGAGATAACTGCCGTGAAAGTGGTTAGAGTTTTGCCTGTACTATATTCAGGAATTAAGTCCATAATCCCAGCTCATAAAGTGCTTGCTTATACTGCTATAACAGCAACTGTCTAATGAAGTCTGTTAGGCTGAAAGAAAAAGAAAAAAAAACAAAAAACCCGTTTTAAACAAATCTTTATATAGTTAGTCTCCCACAAGTCATGGAGAAAAAGCTAGTGAATAGCTGATAGCTATTCAGACTATCTAAAAAATTAAAATTTTGGCACGGAAATTGATTGGTTACGTAGGCAAATGTTGATTCATTTTCCAAAAAAGGGACCCAGAAGAGAAGTTATTTTCTAGGAAGTACTTTTCTCTAAGGAAGTTCAGGAGGCTGTGATACACTAGTTTATGGCGGCATTGTACCTCACTATGGTAAAATTACAGAAATCCCTTGCCTACTTCATAGCTGAGAGAAGGAGGGGGTCAGAATGACCTTGTTTTACCACAGGAAGTATAACTATTTGTACTTAGATTTGATCCAGGAAAGATGAGTTGCCAAGGAAACTCAAATACCTGTACGCCATTTTTTATGCTATCTGTACTTGATACTAATCTTGAGGAAGCCAAGATCCAGATTCCTCAGCCCTAAACTGTTTTCTTAAACAGCTGTTAAATACGAATTACATTTGAATAAATGCTTTGTGAGTCAGAGATGATAGGGGATTGCAGCACTTTTGTATTTTACAGAACGCTATTGAAGAATAAAGTAAGAGTTGGGCCGGGCGTGGTGGCTCACACCCTCGGGAGGCTCAGGCAGGAGGATCTCTGTGTGTTCGAGACCAACCTGGGCTACACAGTGAGTTCCAGGGCAGTCTGAACTACATAGTGAGACCCTGTCTCAAAAAACCAAAAACATAAAAAATAAAGTAAGAGTGGGCTTTGAAGTCTGATTTAGGGTGGGGGATTTAGCTCAGTGGTTCTACCACCTGCCTCGCAGGAGTAAGGTACTAAGTTCGATCCCCGTTGCCAGAAAAATAAAATAAAATGAAGTCTGATTTAAATCTAGGCTCTGTTTGTTAGCTTAAATTTAGGCAAGGTCCTCTCTTTATTTTCCTCACCTATGAAGTAGACAATGATAGTGCAGTTGGAGCCTTCTATCTTGGCTTTGGCATCTGTGGATTCAACCAACCATGGACGGAAAATATTTGGGGAAAAATAAATCTGTACTCACCATATACTGTACAGACTTACTTTCTTGTTGTTATTCCTCCAAATGATACAATATTTTTTCTTTTATTGGTACATTTTAGATATACATGATCACATTCAACATAAGAAATTTGTACCTGTACATGATGTACCTTGTTTCTATTTTTTTTTTAATCTATTCCCCTCCCTCCCCTTCAATCTCTCTTCCCATCCTTGTTTACAAAAGCTTTGGGCTGGAATTTAGCTCAGTGATTTCACTGCCTGCCTCCTGCCTCACAAGTGCAAGCTCCGGAGTTTGATGCCTGGTACCCCACCCCCCAAAAAGCTTTGTTTCCATTTCTTCCTCGTCCCTTCTTTGCTTTTCTCCTTTCTCCTTTCCCCTTCCCCCTTCCCTTGTTCCCCTCTCATTTGAACATTTTCTCCCCATTCCCCAATATGTATTTGGAATCTATTTGTACAGTATCTATTTGATATGATATTTTTTAACCTTACATGTATTAGGTATTAAAAGTAATCTATACTTCAAAAAAATAAGTAAATAATCTAGAGATGATTTAAGTATGAGGGTGTGTGTGGGTTATATGTAAATGCCATGAACTATGTATAAAGGACTTGTGCCTCCAAGGGAGTGGGCTGGGGGGGACTGGACTACTGTATTTACCCCCAATTATAACTGGATTCAATTAGAATATCTGTGAATCACTTAAAGGTTTCCTTCCTTGCACTGAGCTAAATCCCCAGCGCTCCTTCCACAGAATAACAAAAGAGTACTTAACTGCTTTGAGTGCTTGAGCTGTATTTGTTGTTGAGCATTCTGGGTTTTTGGGTTTTTCTTGGTTTTGGTACTGG